CGAGGGCCCGGGTCAGTAGGGGGCCCCATGAGATGCCCCTAGTACCTTTTTCATAGGCTGTTTTGAATTTGGGCAAGGACACAGGGGCCCCATGATCCCCTATTGCCTAAGGGCCCCATGAGTTGTCAGTCTGCCCCTGGTCGCATGTAAGGAATCTCACAACAAAACACTCAGGTGTGAATGGGGGATAATCCTCACCAACCTGCCAAAATTACCTACTGATCCTGCATTCTAAATTGTTCCTCTACTTCCTTTCACTAGGTGACAATGCCGCACAACTGCTTTCCAGCTCATGGAGGTTTTTACCCTTGCATCTGCTGTGCTCACTTGGACAGTGCAATGTGATAACACAACAAGAAGCATGCTATCACCGTAATCACTGCTGTTTAATGCTCCTATAGCTCTGTAATCAGCCGCTGGCCCTGCTTAGCCTAGCTTGCTGTGGTCCTCATAGCAGATGTAGTTTACACTAAAACTCTCCCACCATGAAAGTGCAAGGCGAATGACGTGGAGGATTATAAAATTTGGACAAATCTTACTTATTCATAAAATGAGCTTTCTTATTGACTTTACTGTCATTAGTATTTTTATGTAAAGAACCCTGGAGCAGTAGTTTAAAGTGTTTCTAAACCCACAACAGTAAAATCAGTCTGGATATGCAATAAAGCATGCTTGTTATACTCACTGTGGAACCTAATGAGTTAATCCTCTGCATTGTGTAAAAATGCTGTTTGATCCTGACTTCTTTGATCCTCCCCTTCTTTCAGTGTCCCCCTCTTATCTCCTGATAGTGTGGAGACTCTGCACATGCTCAGTTTGATGTGTATTGCTAAAGAGGTTTTTTTTTTTTTTTTCTTGGGAGAGTGCATGTGCGTTCCTAACCCCAGAAACCACTAAACAGCTCATCCACTCCCTCATCATATCACGACTCGACTACTGCAACTCCCTCCTCACTGGCCTGCCTCGCCGCTGGCTATCCCCGCTTCAGTCCATCCTGAATACGGCTGCCAGACTCATTCACCTTTCCAACCGCTCCGTCTCCGCCTCCCCCCTCTGCCAATCCCTCCACTGGCTTCCGATTGCGCAACGGATCAAATTCAAAATCCTAACATTGACGTACAAAGCTGTCCACCATACTGCCCCGAACTACATCACTGACCTAATATCCAAGTACCGCCCAGCACGCACACTCTGCTCCTCACAAGACCTCCTTCTCTCTAGTTCCCTGGTCTCCTCCTCCCATGCCCGCCTCCAGGACTTCTCCAGGGTGTCACCCATCCTCTGGAACTCCCTGCCCCAACCCATCAGATTATCACCTACTCTCCTCTCTTTTAGGCGCACCCTGAAAACCCATCTCTTCAGGGAAGCCTACCCTACCCCCTGCTAACTTGACCGACCTCCTCCACTCCTCCTATCACTCCATCCCCCACAGCTATCTCCTCCTGTACCACTATTCCCTCCCTCCTAGATTGTAAGCTCCAAAGAGCAGGGCCCTCAATCCCCTCATGTTTTGCATTGTATTGGTATTGTTCTGTCACATGTTCTGTCCCCCTTTGTAATGTACAGCGCTGAGCGAACTATTGGCGCTTTATAAATACTGTATAATAATAATAATGTGATCAGCAAAGGGCCAATCAGCACTGTCCAGAGGGCAGGGGTTCTGCATCCTCCTACAACAGAAAGAAAACTCCTACAAGCTTGAACCAGTGCTCTGCTGAACACTGATAGAAGTCACACAACTGCTTTAACTGCTAATTAAAAAAGGTATTTAGCAGTTTATATTTACTAAAATAATTGCATTTCCATGTTCTGTGTACTGTGGGAGACCAGATAGAGTGAATTCAGGGTCCTGGGTTTAGTAACGCTTTAAGTGTAATGGCTAGTTTGTTTTCTGGAACCGAGAAAGACAGCTGGACATTGTCTGAAACTTCACTTCATGTCACAAGACCTAAAATAGTATACTGTACATTTCACTAGAAAAGGCAGACCTAGATCAGCATCTATATGCTCTGCACATTTCCCACATGGTGGTTTGTGCCTGGAGTTTTCCTTTAAGACCCACTTGTTTGTTCATACTCTAAATTAATGAGGATTTGTGTCAGAAAACTTTTCCGTTAACCTGACCTCATATGTTCAGTGTTCCATCAGCATTAAGAAGTGTTGCAAGATCCTGGAACACAATGAAATCTGGAACACCCTACCTATTAGCCAGGCTCAAGTGATCTGAATCTCCTTTATGTAGACAGAAGGCCTGACCCAGAAAAGCTGGCCTCATTTCCGTGAAAGATCTCCTGGTAAGTGGCACAATCACCTAGGAGATATGCAAGTATAGGATGTCATCTCTTTAAAAGGACCGACAAGGATAAACACATTTCTCTATTACAGTATCCATTGCTGATGAAGAGTGGACTGAATGAACCTTGTAATTAGATTTGGTAAAAAGCTCTCATTAAGGCAGATCTAGCAAATACGACTGAACAATATCCCATTAGTTACCCAGTCTGAGCAGTTGACTGGGTCTAGCATTTAGTCCAGCAGTCTGGAAGTAGGGGGGTACGTGGATTTGATCCCTCAGGAGACAGTCTAAAAGGAGTATTAGGCCCATTACATACCCTCCGACCTTTCTGAGATGTAAAAGAGAAACACCTTTCAGCATTCGTTTTGTAGCCATAGGTCAATCATGTACTACACCACTGGTCAAAGCAGACCATAAAATACTAAAGCTGAACTCCAGCCTTTGCATATCATTGTACCTTGTATTTAAAAGGCTGTGCACAGGCTAATGTTCCAGTGCTTTTTTTTTTTTTAAACTTTATTGCCAACTTTGTGCCTCTAAGGTTGTAAATAAAGCCCAACTCCAGGCAAAATTCTAAATTATACAATGTACCACCAATATTCTACGTTTTTAGCAGGTGCCTTATATTCCCAACATATGCAGCAATATCCTCTCAGATCTTACTAGTACTTTCAGCATCATTTCCTGCCTGGGGACCATTCACTTTGTGATAATAGTTAGCTGCATGGCGACCGGTCCCCACACTGCCCCCATACAGTTCTCTTCCGGGAGACTCCCCGACAGTCAACCAGAGCAGAGGAAACTGGTTTCCCTCCCAAGCAAGGATCTGGGCCCCTGGGACTGCTGCGGGTGTGGGGCAGAGGTCAGTGGTGCTCTGCTCTGATGCCAGCTCTTTCGCTGGGAAGTAAAATGAAAATTCAATGGGCTCACCCAAATCTCCAGGGCCACCGATCGTTGTAGACAGAGGTCAGCGGCGCTCTGCCTTCATGCCAGCTCTTCTGTTGGAGGCTCACTGGGTTGATCCTCCTCAGCAGGAAAGTATATTATGTCCCGAGTCTCCTCCATAGGCCATAATCAGTGGGTAGAAGGCTAGCCCCTAGTCCCCTCCAAATATTCCTGTCCCGCTTGGATCTGTCACAGTCATGATTATTATGGTGGGTGGGATAATTCTATTGGCCATGTCTTCTGCCCACCTGCCCAGCTACTGTTTCAATTCCCATTTGCTGCTAATGCAAAGTAACCTGCTAATACATGAAAATAGAAATATACACACAGTGCTCAACAGTATAACTGAAACTTATTAATAACTAAATATGTGTCCATAAAACGTCCAATTTTGTGATACAGTGCTACCAAATCACTATTGCCTCATTTCCAATAAAGTACTCAGTGCTCGACAACCATAAAAAGTGACTTTGTGCTCAGAATGTGACCTCTGAAGATGCCCAGTGGGAGCGGTGAAACGCGTTGCATGGAGCTTCTGATTTCTGGTGCATGTGGTCCATGGGACACACACAGACCAGATGCATTCCCAAACCGCAATTCAGCTGCCCATCAGGTTTTATACTTAAAGCGGAAAGTATTTTATATAAATGTAAGTGTGACTGTACAACCTGTTTTTAATAAAAGTTATTACTACATTATGAGGGTTCCCTCTTTCCCTTTAAGCTTTGTTTGAAGCACCAACATATTCATTGCTATTCTCAAAACCACTGACTGCGTGGAGAACAGAGAACAAGTGAAAAAGAAGGCAACATTCCTCACCAGAAGGAGAACTTTTTGACTCTTTTGCTTTCAGCTGGGGGTCCACCTTATCTGATGAGTGTGGTCACAAGAGGGGGCACTGATGAAGGATCCCATCCTGAGCACAAAGTCACTTTTTATGGTTTGCCGAGCACCGAACACTTTATTGGAAAGGATGCAATAGTGAATTGGAAACACTATCACATTTTTATGGACACATTTTAATTTATAATAAGGTTCAGTTATACTGTTAAGTGCTGTGTATATAGTTATACATATTGCATTGTAAGCTCGAAAGAGCAGGGCCCTCGATTGCCTCATGTTTTGCATTGTATTGGTATTGTTCTGTCACATGTTCTGTCCCCCTTTGTAATGTACAGCGCTGAGTGAACTATTGGCGCTTTATAAATACTGTATAATAATAATAATATAAAAACAATGTGAGTTGTCACATTAATATAACAGTAAAAATTGCCACTTGTTGCCACCTATGCTGGATACGGCTAAACAACATTTCCTGAAGTATTAAACTGCAAAATTATGTAAGGACTTGCAACTTATCCATTTGAAAAGAGCTAGGAATGTTTTTTTTAACCTAAAAGTGTTACTAAACCCAGGACCCTGCATTCACTATATCTGGTCTCCCCGGACCCTGCATTCACTATATCTGGTCTCCCCGGACCCTGCATTCACTATATCTGGTCTCCCCGGACCCTGCATTCACTATATCTGGTCTCCCCGGACCCTGCATTCACTATATCTGGTCTCCCAGGACCCTGCATTCACTATATCTGGTCTCCCCGGACCCTGCATTCACTATATCTGGTCTCCCCGGACCCTGCATTCACTATATCCGGTCTCCCCGGACCCTGCATTCTCTATATCTGGTCTCCCCGGACCTTGCATTTACTATATCTGGTCTCCCAGGACCCTGCATTCACTATATATGGTCTCCCCGGACCTTGCATTCACTATATCTGGTCTCCCAGGACCCTGCATTCACTATATCTGGTCTCCCCAGATCCTGCATTCACTATATCCGGTCTCCCCGGACCCTGCATTCACTATATCCGGTCTCCCCGGGCCCTGCATTCACTATATCTGGTCTCCCCGGACCCTGAATTCACTATATCTGGTCTCCCACAGTACAGAGAACGTGGAAATGCAATTATTTTAGTCAATATAAAATGCTAAATACCTTTTCTCAGCAGCAGTTAGAGCAGTCTTGTGACTTCTATCAGTGTCCAGCAGAGCACTGGTCAAAGCTTGTAGGAGGAGTTTTCATTCTCCCTTGATTGTCCTATGAGGCTGCATAACCCCTGACCCTCTGTCTGGACAGTGCTGATTGGCCCTGTGCTGATCACATACACTCTCCCAAGCTTAAAAAAAACTCTAGCAATACACACCAAACTGAGCACATGCAGCTTGCCCTCAAAGCTCTGTTCTATCAGCAGATGGATTGGGGACAGTAGAGGAAGGGGAAGATCAGAGAAGACAGGCTCAAACATCCTTTTTACACAATACAGAGGATTAATCCCATGGTTCCACGGTGAGTTTAACAACCATGTTTTGCTGCATATACAGACTGACTGTACTGTTGTGGGTTTAGGAGCACTTTAAATCACTGAGGGTTGAGAAAGAGTGGGAGGGCCCCATTGAAAAAAAAAAGTTAGATATTCCGGTTCTAGATGAGCATGATCAGACAGCATGCATATCCAAAAGGAAAAGATCTCAAGATTTCCTAACTGTACTGTTGACAACCAATCCTATTTTGGGAATTTATATGGTTTATCAAATTATCATTTTAAGACCATAAGGTCTGGAAAAAAAAAGTCAACTAGACACGAACAACCAAACCATTAATTCCCATCACAATGTTAACCAATTCCTCTTAGCACCGGTTTTAAATACAATAATCTATGGCAATAAACATGTTGCTTAAGCCTTAAATAAAACATTTTCATAATAAAAGGGTTGGTCTATGTCTGCAATGGGCAAACTACGGCCCGGCGGACCTTTTAATCCGGCCCGTGGAGCGTGATACTGTCAGGATGTGTGTAGGCGGGGCAGCGTGACGAACGTGAGGGGAGCTAGGCTCCTTTCACAGTCCGCCCTGAAGACCGGAACGGCGCGGGAACACGGCGAGAGGAACGCGCGGGGCAAAGGTAAGTAAATTGACACAGGGGGACTTGGCTTACTACTTGGGGGGGAATAGTACTATGGGGGATGAAATACTATATGGGGGATGAATTAATATGGGGAATGAATTACTATAGGGGGGATGAATTACTATAGGGGGGATGAATTACTATGGGGGATGAATTACTATATGGGGGATGAATTACTATATGGGGGATGATTTACTATGGGGGATGAATTACTATATGGGGGATGAATTACTATATGGGGGATGAATTACTATATGGGGGATGAATTACTATATGGGGGATGATTTACTATGGGGGATGAATTACTATATGGGGGATGAATTACTATGGGGGATGAATTACTATATGGGGGATGAATTACTATATGGGGGATGAATTACTATGGGGGATGAATTACTATATGGGGGATGAATTACTATGGGGGATGAATTACTATATGGGGGATGAATTACTATATGGGGGATGAATTACTATGGGGGATGAATTACTATGGGGGATGAATTACTATGGGGGATGAATTACTATGGGGGATGAATTACTATGGGGGATGAATTACTATGGGGGATGAATTACTATATGGGGGATGAATTACTATGGGGGATGAATTACTATATGGGGGATGAATTACTATATGGGGGATGAATTACTATGGGGGATGAAATTACTATATGGGGGATGAATTACTATATGGGGGATGAATTACTATAGGGGGGATGAATTACTATATGGGGGGATGAATTACTATATGGGGGGATGAATTACTATATGGGGGATGAATTACTATATGGGGGATGAATTACTATGGGGGATGAATTACTATATGGGGGATGAATTACTATATGGGGGATGAATTACTATGGGGGATGAATTACTATATGGGGGATGAATTACTATGGGGGATGAATTACTATATGGGGGATGAATTACTATATGGGGGATGAATTACTATGGGGGATGAATTACTATGGGGGATGAATTACTATATGGGGGATGAATTACTATGGGGGATGAATTACTATGGGGGATGAATATGAATTACTATATGGGGGATGAATTACTATGGGGGATGAATTACTATGGGGGATGAATTACTATATGGGGGATGAATTACTTACTATGGGGATGAATTACTATATGGGGGATGAATTACTATATGGGGGATGAATTACTATATGGGGGATGAATTACTATATGGGGGATGAATTACTATGGGGGATGAATTACTATATGGGATGAATTACTATATGGGAGATGAATTACTATGGGGGATGAATTACTATATGGGGGATTAATTACTATGCTTACTATGGGGGAATATTACTATACTTACTATGGATGACACATACACATCATTCATCTACTCTTGGTCCGGCCCCCGGGTCCAATATATGAACCCATTGCGGCCCTCAAGTCAAAAAGTCTGCCCACCCCTGGTCTATGTCCTACAGCCACGTACTATACATAGAAGTTTTCATAATCAATTTGACTTTCTCAATGGGAAATAAGAGCTGGCCTCTCATTAATAACATTCTTGTGTCTTACAACATCATTTAATAATTGCTGCCCTGACACTGATGACGAAATGCAGAGAAAGAACAGGAAACATTGTTGGACCCTTTCTGACAATTTTTTATTTATAAAGTGCAAGTGAGGCCATTTATCCTAAACTTATTAATACTAAATACAGCTGACAAGTTTCGCAAGAGCTTGGTCACTGAAATCTGTTTATAGTTCAGCAGTTACAGGAAGACAACTGAGTCTCCTGCTGTTTCCAGGAGTGTGTGATACACCAGTTCCTTGCATTGGAACAAGTGTTAGACTAGTCCTTCCTACTGATTTATGTATGATGACAAGTCCAAGGTGCAGAGTTTTGTGCAACCTTCAACCATTATGTACTAGGGACAGGTCTTTCTGATAGAGGTTGCAGATTCCTGTTGTGGCATGTGTGTGAAACATCTTCTGCAGCAAAACTACAAAAGCCAAAAGTGGTGGTAATGGTGGTGAACAAGGAAACGTATATTCATCACTGGTCACACAACATATGTGTCTACATCAGTCATTCTCAACCGGGGTTCCTCCAGAGGTTGCAAAGGGTTCTTTGGGCTGTGGTTGGTTGACCTCCCATTGGATGGTATCTACATAATTCCAGGGCCAACACTATTTAGCAAAATATGCAGCATGACACCAATTATGTTTTTACCGGTCTGTAAGGGGGGCTTTCTGACCTCCATCGTAAGGGTTGCATTCTTCCTACCGACCACCAATATAAGGGTTCCCAAGGACCAGAAAGTATTTTAGGCATTTCGCTGGGGTAAAAAGGTTTAGAAAGGCTGATTTACCCATTATAGAGAACCCAACACAGTGAAAACATCGGTTATAAAAACCAGCACTATATTATATCTGTACTGCACTTGCTGTACATAGTATGGTATTGGACCACCACCAAGGAGTTATGTGTGACCGTTCCTGGCCAGGAATCTGCACGCAGTTGAAGAATGCTAGAGGCACAAATGAAAAACAGAAACTGTTGTAACTGCCAAGAAATTTGTAATTCTGCTAAAGAGCAACTATGGGGTCCGTTTTTATATACTGTAGTTTATATTTTCAGTTTGAGGGACTGGCCAAGGTCATTGTGTGGTGAAGAAGTACAACTACAATTGTAGGGGAGTGCTGCAGCCAGAAAAGGTTTGAAAGCCCAGGGGGCCTTTAAAAGAACAGCCTGGAGTTGAGGCTTAACCATTTCCCGACCGGCCGTTGTATATAAACGGCCAGACGGTGGCACTGCAGGGTCTGGTGGCTGTTTATAAACGGCCTCCCCGCACCCTGCTTGTGCGCGCTCCGGTGCCCGCTGTGTCCTCCGGGCACAGTGAAACACCGATCGTCGGATGGGACCTCTATACAAGGTCCCGATCATGTGATCACTGATTGGCCAATCAGTGATCACATGCAAAGTAGTAAGCAAGATGTCACTTCTGACATCATTGCTTACTACGTGTGAAATCTGTGAATGATCACAGAGGTCACATGGTACAAGGCTATTCACAAAAGCCTTGTACCATGTGACAAGCTGTGACCAATCACAGCTCACTCAGTAGTTCTCAATGGCTGCAAGAATGCAGACAGAGAGAAAGAGAAATGATTGCTTTTACATCCTATATGGGTGTAAAAGCAATCAGTGTAAAAAAAAATAAAAAAAAAATCTTCATCACCCCCCAATAGTACAGTGTCACCACTGTACTGCTAGGGTGACAGTATGTAAAAAATAAATAAATAATAATATAAATAATAATATAAAAAAAAAATATTAAAAAAAAAAAATGTTTTTTTGGTTATAAACTAATTTGGCTTATTTTTTTTTACTAAAAAGATAACGGAATAAATTTTGGCCAAGATTTATGATGAAATATTATTTGCAAAATTTTATAAGAAAAACACTTTTTTTCAACATTTTTGGACAATTTCATTTACATAGGAAAAAAAATAAAAATCCCAGCGTTGAATAAATACCACCAAAATAAAGTTTTATCGGTCTTAAAAAAATGGTAAAAAATTCATATGGTCACAGTGTTGCATGACAGCGCAATTGTCATTCAAAGTGTGATAGCACTGAAAGCTGAAAATTGGCCTGGACAGGAAGGGGGTAAAAATGTCAGGACTTTAAGCGGTTAAAGTTAAACTAAGCCCATCGATTTAATGGTTTCCCAGTAAGTTACATTCAAGGCATGCTGTGAATGATAACTGTCAACGCTGCTTGTGCTCTCAGCTGAACTGTCAACTGTTGCATGACCGCGCAATTGTCATTCAAAGTGTGATAGCACTGAAAGCTGAAAATTGCCCTGGTCAGGAAGGGGGTAAAAGTGTCCAGACTGGAAGTGGTTAAAAGGAGTCTTGTGATCTTGACACACCTGCCAGATAGTAAATTCATAGTAATTGTAGAATGGTTCCCTGTCTGCTCTGATTGGTTATAAAGCAGC